CCCCCCCTCAGTGTTCTGCCTCTGTCAATCTCTTCATTTCCTCCATCTCCGCCTTTCCCCCCACTCTCCAGATTTCTGCTTCTCTCTCCCCCTCCTTCCTTTCTTCTCCCCGCCTCTGTTTCTCTGCGTCCCTTTGCCTCATAGGCCCCTCACTACCTTTGCTCGCATCTGCACTCTCAGCTTGCGAGGGTCAGGGGTATGTGTGTGTTGGGGAGAGGGACAGAGCTGTGTGTCCTAAAGAATGGGGGGTCCCGCTTGTCCCCCACTGAGGGACATGAATGTGCAGGGTGTGCAGGGGGACCCAGAGCCCCACACTCGAGCCAGCCCCACACCTGGTTTAAACTGCTGTTGCTGTTTCGAAATTCGTGCATTTGCACCAGGTGATCTACATTTTCATTTTGCACTTGACCCTGTGAATTAGGTCCCTGGTCCTGCCCCTGGTTCCCAGGACTGTCCTGTCCCGAATCCCCGAGCAAGGGCAGGTGTAGGTTCCCCCAGAGACAGTGCGCCTTCTTTCAGTGGCTTGGCCAAGAGTCCACAGAAGCCCCAGCCCTTCCTGTGATTGGCGGGGAGGGGGCCTCAAGCCAGAAAACCTGGAAAACCTGGTTTGTCCTCAGACTTGAGAGCATTGATTCCTGCTCTCCCACTGGTCCGCAGGGACAATGAGTCTCTCCCCACTGGCCAGGGTGGGAGGCTGTGTCCTGACCGGACAGAGACTTGACAACTGCGGGGTGTAGGAGACCTCAGTGCTGGTGGCTCTGAACCCAAAACCAATGTGCTCTCTCCCCTCCAGGGTGACTCAGGGGGACCGCTGATTTGCCAAGGCACCCTGCAAGGCCTGGTGTCCTGGGGAACTTTCCCGTGCGGCCAACCCAACGACCCAGGTGTCTATACCCAAGTCTGCAAGTTCACCAATTGGATAAAGGAGACCATGGAAAACAATTAATAGCTAATCTCTCCAAACTCCCGTCGCTCCATCTCTCTGCCTTGAACAGAAAGTTTACAGAAATAAGGACATCAATGACCTGTACTCATATTTAACTTTACCTTTGCTGAAAGTCGTATTAAAACCTCAGCAATATGATATGTATGTAAACCAATGAAATCAAGCAAAAAAATAAGATCAAAACAAAAAAACACACAAAAACCGCAGTGCCGGTAAAGATGCAATGAGACCATCAGCCTCAATTGCTGAAGCTGTAAATGGGTAAAATACTTTTGTAAGGCAGTTGGACAAGGTGAATTGAGACATTTATTCACTGCCTTGGATCTAGAAATTCTGGTAAATCCGAAATGTGAGGCAAGGTTTGAATTAGTGGATTGTTTATGTAAACAATAAATAAGTTTGTGAAGAAGCTATTAATGAAGTTGTTCAGGATGATAATTATGCAGAGTTGTCGGTGTCACACGAGAATGTTTATGCTACCTGATGTGAAATAAAAAATGAAAGATATAAATGTATATACATGTGATCCTCGCCATGTGAAATGAAATATTCACAGACTAAAGATCACGTACCAAGATGCACGTGGACGTAGTCATGGGGTATCTCCTTCCTTCCATTTCCCTTTCTGTGCCTGTGCCCTTTTATAACCTGAAAAATCCAAGTGGGAACCTCTGAAGAGCTAAGGGTGGGGAGAGGAGACCTTAAGTGAGGGAGATGGAAAAGGAAAATGCATCTGATCCTGAGCCCTCGCCCTGCCTCCGGTGCCCCATTGGTCCCGTGCTATGCTCCTCTTAATTTCCCAGGGGAGGGGAGGGCAGGGGAGGGCAGGGGAGGGCAGGGGAGGGGAATGAGAACTGCCTATGTCATTAGGGTTGAAATGGACACCAAAATAGTTCCGAGCAATTCACAGGTGGCAAACTAGGTCAGAAGGAGGAGGCTCCATGAAGGTTAGGGCTGGCAGGTAGAGAGGACCCTGAGGTCCCACAAGGGCCTTCCACAAGTGAGCACCTAATGTCCCAGGTGGGAGAGAAAGATGGGGCTGGGAACCTGGGTAGGTGGGCTCCTGTTCTCAAAAAATTAGGTGAAGAGGCCTCTGGAAGAGAGGAGAGAGGAGGGAGGAGGGAGGAGTCCCCAGTGACTCAGGGCCTGGCCACACCCCTAGGCCTCCAGCTGTCAGAGGCTCCCTGGGCAATCACATCTCAGGCTCTGCTGAAATCTCCTCCAGCCCGGGACTCACCTGTCTTTCCAGTTTTTCTCCCAGAATTCCCTTCTGGCCAACATTCACCAGATCCTTCCTCTCCTCGCCTGATCTCCCTCATGAGTCTACCTTGGGCCCCTCTCTCCACCAATAGTCTGCACAGAGTAAGCCAAGACCCCTCCTCCCACAAAACACAGGAGTCCAGGCCCCAGCCCCTCCTCCCCACACCCAGGGGTTCAGACCCCCAGCCCCTCCTCCCTCAGACCCAGGGGTTCAGACCTTTAGCCTTGTCCTTTCTCTGGATCAGTGACAAGTTGAAGGAATGTCTAGGGTTTGGGGGCCACCCACCCTGTGAAGCTCCATCATCTTCTCCTCTCTCCCACATGCTGCTCCAAATCAATATTCAATCTAAAATGTTTAAAAGTAGCAAATCATGGCAGTTGCACTAAGTTTGCTGGAGCCGCCTGGCCCTGCCTCAGCTCCTTTGCACGAGTCTGCAGGTGGGTTGCCTTGCAATGACTTCAGGTCGTCCTCTTGTTGAATTTCTTAAAAATAACTTCATTTTTCTTTGGGTAAACAGGAGAGCACAGTAGTTAAAAGCACTGATTCTAGAGACTGGGCTTTGGGGGGTCCAGTCCCAGTTCTGGCTCCTGTCAGCTCTTTGCCTTTGAGCACGTCACCTCCCTGGTCCTTCATCTTTGCGATAAGAGAGCAGCACCTATTTCCAGGGCCACTGTGAAGATTAAATAATAGTCAGAAAGTGCTAGCACGTTGTCTGACACAGAAGAAGCCTTCAGTGGTGTTGGTTTTTAATTGTTTGTGACTTCTGTCACTTTTTCCTGATTGCACTCTCATAAAGTTTTTATATTTTTTTCAACATTTTATTATGAAAAGTTTCTAACATACAGCACAGTTAAACAATTTACAATAGACTCCCATATACCCACCACGTAGATCTTACCATTGACATTTTACTATATTTGCTTTATCTCACCTCCACCTATTACTCTATTCATCCATCAATCTAACTAATTTTTGGATGTATTTAAAAATAAGTTACAGATATTGGTATACTATCCTCTAAATACTTCAGCATGTATAGGTGTGTGTTTTTAAATATATATATTTTTTATTGATTTTAGAGAGAGAGGAAGGAAGAGGGAGAGAGAGAAAAATATGCATTGGCTGCCTTCTGCGCACCCCCTACTGGGGATCAAGGCCTCACCTGGGCATGTGCCCTGACAGGGCACTGGGACCCTTTGGTGCCTGTGATGACGCCCAACCAACCGAGCCACATGGGCCAGGACCAGCATGCATATCATTAACTAGAGTTCAATATTTATTTTCTCATAACTTTTTCTTATAAATCATTTTCTTTACTGAGGACTTTGCCGAGTATGTCGATTAGGAGAAAAACATCCCATAATCAAGTATGTGCAGCTCGTGGAGATGACAAAGCCCAGAGGACCAGTGGCAAGTGCCTGGAGTTGGGGTCTTAATTCCCTCTTAGAGTTTCCTCCACTCCCCACCACTCCCCACCTCCCTCCCTTCCCCACGGCCCTCAACTCCTCCTCCTAAATGCGCCCACCCCATGCTGCAGTAAGATAGACCCAGGGGGGTGCCAAGAGATGGGTCGTGTCCACCACCACGCTGGAAGCTGAGTTTCGACTCAGGCGCTGCCGTTTCCTGGGTGTTTGACATTGAGCAACTCACTTGTTCTCTCTGAGCCTCAGTTTTCTTATCTGTGAAACAGGAGTGGGCATAATGAAGTCATTTAGTCATCCGGCCAACATTTCCTAAGGCTTCCTCTGAGCCAGGTCCTGTGCGGGCGCTTGGGACACAGGGGTGAGTCAGTCCCAGTGCCTGCCCTCAAGGAGCTTGCGGTCCGGCGGGGGAGCTGTACGTGAACCCAGGTGGCCTCGGTGCAGGGTGACTTGAGGGAGGCACCTGCTGTGGGAACCTGGACGAGAGTGTGACTAACCCAACCGCAGCGGGTGGGAATTGGGTGGTGTTCAGGGAAGGCTTCCTGAAGGAGGCGATAGCTAAGCAGACTTGAAGGACAGGTTGTGAGAAGAGTGTTCTGGGAAGAGAGAATAGAATGGGTGAAGGCCTAGGGGTCAGAGGGCATGGCCTGGTTCAGGGAAACCTCGAATCAGCTCCACGGCCGGAGCGCAACGGGAGAAGTGGGCAGAGCTGGACCACGTAACGTGGCAGCCACTTGCCAGGGCTGTGGCACTAGGCCACTTGAAAGGTGGGGAGATCCAACTGAGACGTGCCATTGGTGTGAAAAAGACACAACGGGTCCCAAACACTAATTGTGCAAAAAAATTAAAAAAGCAAACTACTTCTTTAAATGTTTCCTATTTTGAGTGACAATTTTTGCATATATTGACTTAAATGAAATATTAAACTCTTGTATCTTTTTTCCGAGATTTTCATTTATTTTATTTTTTAATTACAGTTTACAGTCATTATTCTCTTGTATTGGCTTCAGGTGTACGGCACAGCGGTTGGACAGTCACATACTTCACGCGGTGCTCCCCCCGACATTCCCCGTCCCCGCCTGGCAGCACGCGTCGTTGGTACATTATTGACTGTATTTGCTGTGCCGCACCTGGCACGCCAGTGGCTGGGACCAGCTGAAAAGGTGAAGGGATCGAGAAGCAGACTGGTGGTAACTCTTGCTTCGCTCTACTTTGTTTTAAACTGTGGCTGCTAGAAAATTTGGAAGTGCATGTGTGCCTGCCCCTATACTTCCACGGGCCAGCGCCGTCCTGGGTGCTGAAGGTTTTCCGACACCAGGCTGAGGGGTCAGGACTTGTCCCCAGGATGACAGGGGACCCCAGGCAGGGTTGTGAGCAGGAGAGAGCCGGGGGTCAGCTCTGGGGGCCAGGAGAACCCTCTGGGGTCGAGGGAAGGGTGCAGAGGAGAGGCCATGGTCCGAGCTGAAGCAGGGGAAATGGGGACAGAGAGGAGGGAGCCACACAGGGCGGGGAGGCGGTGGGACAGGGCTTGAGGATCGACTGTGAGAGGCCCAGCGGCCGTCTGTAAGGATGGTGGGTCCCGAGTTCAGTGGGGATATGAGTGTGAAGGGCCTCGGGGAACCAGGCATGGGGGGCAGCAGCCCCAAAGAGTACACCGAATGCTAAATTGTTTCATCCCGGGAGAGATGGGGGCCAAGCAAAGGTGGTGACAACTAGATTTATTTATTTTTTTTTTTTTTCAGAAAGTCACAGAGGCAGAAGTGAGCTGTAGAAGAAATGGGCTCAGGAAACAAATGACAGAGGCAAAAGAAGGGCCCTTGGAGCTTAGGAGAGAGAGCGAGGCAAGGGAAACGCACCCGGGGGAGGAGGGGGAGGTGTGGGCATGCTGCATAGAGAGAGCCCCCCACACACAATTTTTTAAATTTATTTGAGAGAGAGAGACTTGTTGTTCCACTTGTTTCTGCATTCATTGGCTGGCTCCTGGATGTGCCCTGGCCTCGTATTGAACCGCAACCTTCTGGTATCAGAACGATGCTCTAAGCAACTGAGCCACCCGGCCAGGGCCCCAACAATTAGATTTAATGCAAAAAAAAAGGGTAGCACCAGGCCCAAGCTGGTGCTAAGGTAACATTATTAAAATCAGTCGACCTCATTGCCCAATGACCTTCCTGAAAGCCCCCCCCCTTTCCTTCTCACGCCCTGCAGTTCCCTGGTCCCTGGGATCACCACGCCCGCCGCCTTTCCCTCCACCTCCGCCCGCCCTGCCCGCTGCCCGCCTTTCGGGGACACGCGGCCCCCGCAGCTCCTCGCCTCCTCTGCAGCTCAAGGGCCCCTACCCCACACCCCAGGTCGTGCTCAAGTTTTCTTGCATTTCCTGCTTATTTCCACTCTCTCCCTGTGTGTTGAATTTCATCAAGTCCCCAGGTCCCCCTGTGTCCNCCACGCCCGCGGCCTTTCCCTCCACCTCCGCCCGCCCTGCCCGCTGCCCGCCTTTCGGGGACACGCGGCCCCCGCAGCTCCTCGCCTCCTCTGCAGCTCAAGGGCCCCTACCCCACACCCCAGGTCGTGCTCAAGTTTTCTTGCATTTCCTGCTTATTTCCACTCTCTCCCTGTGTGTTGAATTTCATCAAGTCCCCAGGTCCCCCTGTGTCCCACTAGCTTCCTCACGCCCCCCGCGTGTCCCTGTCTAGCTCCCCGGAACCGACGCCCCTCTGTGCAGGCTTCTGCGCTTCTAGTGCAGGGGGTCGTGGGGGGAGAGAAGCAGAGAGAGGCTTATAGGCTCAGAAAATCAAGGGGAGAGACACACAGGGAAAGATGGAGAAAGAAGCAGAGAGATAAAGAGACATAGGTAGAGACTGGGGTGAACACAGAGAAACACAGAAAAAGAGAGAGAGATGGAGACACCCTGCCAGGGCCAGGGAGGGAAACAGCAGAGACCTCCGGGGTGGGCAGGCCTGGAGGGGATGGGAGTCCTGATACGGGACAGAGGTGGGTGGACAGTCAAAAGACAGCAAGAGGACTGTCAGACAGGGACAAAAGGGAGCCATTGACGCAGCCGCCTGCCACCAGCCTTCTTGGAAGAGAGGTTGAGAAACGGAGCTGCCAGGAGCATGGCACTGGGCGCTGGGGGCGGACAAAGCCGGATTGTTCCAGGGCCTTTCCTCACAGTGCCCGGGCCTGCGCCCCAGCCTGAGGCAGGGCAGAGTACCAGCCTGGTGACACACGCTTTCTCACTAGCTGGCTCACTCTCTCGTGGGGACCAGGAGGTCGTCAGCACCCACGGAGGGACTCAAAGGCAGGTGCGTGAATCACCCCAACTCCACTGACCCCGTGTGGCCTGGTTCCCAGGGACTTGTGGGTCTTGAGCAGGGACAGACAGACCTGGTGGGGTCCCTGGAGGCCAGGGCTACTAGGAGGCCCACATGTGGGTCCCCAGATCCTTCCTTGCTCAAGGACCTAGAGGTCCAGGGAATGAGGAGAGCAAGCTCCCACCCATCCCTCTCCCACACCCAGGAGTCAGCACCCAGCCCCTCCTCCCTCAGACCCAGGAGTCCATGTCCCCAGTGAACTTAGGGACCAGTGCTCCCCTTCCTGGAAGCTGGGGTCAGGGGTCATGAGGAGCAGAGCTGTCAGAGGTGGAAGAATGTGCGTGGGAGGCCCAGTGAGGAGGAAAGGGGAGGGACAGCTTCCTGCCTCAGGGATCTTGGGTAACATGGGTTAAAAGGAAGCACCTGGAGCATATGGGGACAAGACCAGCCAGGAGCCCCTGGGGTATCTGCCAGACAGTCCTCGATGCCCTGGGCCCCGCAGCCCCTCTATCTGCTCTCTGTCTGTTTCTCGATCTTTGTCTGTCTTTCTCTGTCTCATTCCAAGGGGCCCTCACTGCTTTGTGAATCCCTGCTCTGCTCTCCCCTCGCCTCCCTGCGTTTCTGACTCTGCCTCCCTGTCTGCCTGCCTGTGACATGCACTGTCCCTGGGCCAGTCAGCAGTGGCCCCCAGCAGGTAAGACCACAGTGCACGCCAGGACCTACAAGTGTAGGGGTGAGGGACAGGTGAGCCCAGAGCTAAGGTGCAGAGAAAAATGCATCGGTGCTGGAGAGGAGAACCTCAGGGGCCTCCCGGGCCAACCCTCCCTGTTACTAAGCAGGCAAACCCCAGCCGGGAGGCGGGGAAAGGCTGACTGAGCGGCACCTGGGGCCAGCAGGTGCAGTGATGGGCTCTCACGGTATCTGCCTTCCGAGGGCCCTCGGGTGGGAGATGAGAGATTAGGAGGCTGGTGAGGGTCAGAAGTCAAGGGTCAGGAGAGCGGGGCAGGCCAGGAAGGAGGGGACAGAGGAGGGAGAGGGGAGGGGCCTGCATGGGGTCTGAGATGGGGGCTGAAGGAGCACTTGGCTTCCCCTCCCAGGAACAGCCATGAAGACGCTGGTTGCTGCACTGGTTCTGATCGCTGCAGGTGGGAAAAAGGGAAAGAGGGTGGGGAGGTTTGGGGACAGGGTGGGGGTTGCCGAAGGGCAGAGATTCAGCTGGAGGTGGGAGCCACTCAGGCGTGGAGGGGGGTTGGAAGGAGGAAGGCCGTGGAGGCTAGGTGAGGACTGGGGGCTGCAGGCAGGGAAGGGGGTGGGAGGTGGCTGTGAAGATGGGGAGAGGTCGAGGATGGGGCAGGCTTTGGGGGCGGTACTGGGTACGGGTTTGGGTGTGGAGGTGCAGGTCATCTCCATGATTAAGGCAGGACTGGTTCACACTGGCGGGTGCCCGGGCCATCCCCAGACCTCCTCTCTGACTCGGACCCTCCCTCCCGCAGTCCAGGCAGAGAGGAAGGAAAAGGTGCTGTCTGGTGGACCCTGCGAGCGGATGTCTCACCCCTACCAAGCTGCCCTCTACAACTCAGGCCACTTGCTCTGCGGTGGGGTCCTCATTCACCCCTCATGGGTCCTCACAGCTGCCCACTGCAAAAAACCGTGAGTTTCCACACCGAGGATGGGGAGTGGTTGCAATTAGAGTCCGCCAATGCCTTGCAGACTTCAGGCACGGAATGACACACACGTCCCCCTGACCCAGTGTGAGGCCATCTGATAACCAGTCTCATTTGGCCAACATTTAATTGAGCATTAAATATATGCCAGGCACTGTTTGGGGCCCTGGGGATC